GCATCATTTTCATCTGTCAAATTAAAAAATTTTTTTTTTTTTTTTTTTTTTTTTTCTATTTTATAATTTTAGTATTATTTATATTGCTGTTTCCACTTGAATTTTAGTTAAAGTTTTTGTCATTTTGTGTTTTTGTCATTTTTATTTAAAAATGCCTATAGAGTTTTTTTATTAATTAGTTAGTTTTACTTTAGTTTAGTTATTTTGGTACTTCAAGTTGAATTAAATGAAAATGAGAAATGTTGATATATAATAACTAGAATAAAATACATTTACTTTTTAATATTTTATTTTATTTCAGTTAAAGTTTAATTTCAAGTAACGAAAATGTTTTTTTTTTATGGTTTTAGTTTTAACTTGAACTCTCTAACTTGAATTCTAACTCTAACTTTAACTCCATTAACCCTGTTAAGTGACTGAATTGAAAAGCTCTTCATTACCAGTAAACGGTCTGAATAAAAGCATCGATAACATACTTGGTTATGATGTCTAATAAAGTTGCCTCGGTAGGCGGTTCGCTGTATTTTGGAGCAGAGCTGTTGTGTTTGATCATTCCTGAGGGCATCATGTGGTCATCCTAATGTTGTACTGTCTGGTTTCTCTTTGGATGAGAATAGAGCTCAAGAGACAGACTCCTGGGAGTTCAGTCAGCAGCCCAAATACAGGTAGCCCTGCTTACTGCTTCCTGCTGCCGCCCTACAGCGGGACGGGGCGGGAGGGGATGAGGGGTGTGAGGGGGCCGCTTTGGCCCCGTTACCCTAAGGATGGCCCTTCTTTCTTTCTCTTTCTCTGGAGGGTTTTGCTGTTCTACGAAAGTGACCGTAATGAGGGGATATTAGGCTACTGAAGACTTAAAAGGGTCTGAGGTCTTAAAATAACAGAATTAAAGCAAACGTTTATCTCTGTATATGCCGTTCAAAGTTTGGGTGTCAGTAATTTTTTTTTTTTTGAAAGAAATGCATACTTATATTCAGCAAGGATGCATTAAATTGATCAAAAGTGACAGTAAATGCACTTATAATGTTACAAAATATTTTTTGTTTCAAATAAATGCTGTTCTTTTACTTTCTATTCATCCAAGAATCCTGAAAAAATCAAGCAGCTCAGCTGTTTTCATCATTGATAATAATCAGAAATGTTTCTTGAGCAGCAAATCAGCATATTAGAATGATTTCTGAAGATCATGTGACACTGAAGACTGGAGTAATGATGCTGAAAATTCAACTTTGATCACAGAAATAAATTACATTTGAACATATATTCACATAGAAAAAAGTTATTTTAAATGGTAATAATATTTCACAGTATTACTGCCTTTACTGTAATTTTGATCAAATAAAGCCAGCCTTGGGGAGCAGAAGAGACTCCTTTCAAAAATAATAAAATATCTTACCAGCCCCAAAGGTTTGAGCTGTAGTTTATATTGTTGTTGATTGGGGTGCACAGTGATTTGGATTGTTCTATATTATCTCATGTGTTTTAAGACCTCATATGCTGCTGAGGGTTGTTTCCTCTGCCTTCTGATGTTCAGTACCAGTCAAAAGTTTGGACGTACTTAACTGAAGGCCTTCTGATTACGCTGGGAAATGGAAAAGCAATGCGGCAAAACAAATCCCTCATACATGTTCCACATTTTCTTCTTGCCTTTTCAATACAGTTTCAAAAGCATCCCAGGATGCACCTCATGTTTTTATGATGAACGTCTAGAGTCCGCAGAGCTTGAACAAAGAAGAAGGGCAAATATAAAGGAGGTTTTGTTTGTGTCACAATTTGTGCATTTCAAAATGAGTTGAGAAAAGTCATAGTAAAGCATGAGTAGATGTGTCCAAACTTTTGACTGGTAGTGTACATACTTAAATTAGGAGGTTAGTTCCCTGCATGCAGACATTTAGGAGATCGCTAGACATTCGAAACGAGGCTAAATGACTGGAATATAACTTATGTCCTCTTTATTCTTGATTTATTTGTGGGATTTGCCTTTGTTGATCCGGTATGTTCTTCTGCATGATAAACGTCTGTCTCGGTGGTAATGTCTGCTCATCTGAGCATCCCAATTTTAGGCTACATATTATATTGGTGTCCTCAACGTCTTGATTTTTTTCCACTAAGCTTTTCCCGCTTTGTTGACCACAAAAATGGTAAACCTCTGGAGTATAAACCTCGGGTGTTGTTGCTTCATGGCTGTAAATCTGTTTTGCATGCTTTTAAAGCTGGCTTGAAACCGTTGCAGTATGACTGGTTTGATATTTTCCCGTCCTCTTCAGCGGTATTTACATTTGATGATCCACTGGACTGTAGATAAATGTAATCCTATTGCACTGTGCTGCTTATTATATCGTATTACACTCCGGAATACTGAGGTATCATCGGCCACTGATATTTCAAATCAACACCGTCAGCAATCAGCTATTAAGGAATGGTATTTTAATAATTAATTAAACCTGTTTATTGCACTCTATAGGGTCTGTAATCACCTTTTGTTCTTGCACGTAATATAGTCAATAAATACAGACTAGAATTAATCAAATCTGAAAAATAGAAAGCACGCATTTGGTTTTTGTACACGTCAGACAGATATGGTTGTTGCATGTTATCTGCATTTTCATAATGGTGTCTTTTTTCAGAAATTGCAAATAAATTGCCTTATTTATTTGTTATAAATATGTATTTATTTAACATCATGCCTGAGGTCTGACTCAGTGTTACTGCAATAATAAACAGCTCTTGTATCTCTTTGTTGGGCTGTAATTGAACTCTGTTTGAATTTAAATGCATTAGTTAAAAGCAAAATGCTGATCTGAAGACAAAAGTTAAAAGAAGTGTCTGAAAGAGCCAGTTTTTCTCTGTAATAGACGTATGGATGAATATCTTGGGTATTGCTTTTCCTGCTGCTTGTCTCTGCTATTTTAAGCTGGTGTCTGGTGTAGTGTTGTAGGAAATGTCTGGCAGATTGTGGCCTGCTGTTATCTGGTGTGTGTGTGTGTGTGTGTCTCTGGGCAGGTCAATCTCTCAGGAGCGCAGCAGCGCCTCCTCCTGGACGGAGCTCATGGCGCACCCCCACAAACACAAAGAACTGGCAAACTACTGCAGCCTGCTACAGGAGCACTACTACCAGAGCTATGTCAAAGGTCACACTCTAACATATGCATAGAGCTTAAATAAATACAAATATAAATAAATAAGCAAAAAAAAAAAAAGTAAATAAAAAATTCATCTACGGAATTCTCATTAGTATAATGCAATAAATAAGTAAGTAAGTGAATAAGTAAATAAGTAAAGAAGTAAGTAAATAAATAAGTAAATAAATAAATAAATACGTAAATAAATAAAAATAATTCTCATTACAGTATTGAGTCCAGACATTTTGTCCATTACATTTATGGTAACACTTTACAATAAGGTTCCATTTGTTAACTATATTTAATGCATTTACTAACAATGAGCAATGCATTTGTTACAGTACTTATTAATCTTTGTTAATGTTAGTTAATAAAAAAATACAGCTGTTCATTGTTAGTCCATGTTAGCTCAGGTCTGTTAAATAACATTAATAGATACAACTTTTGATTTTAATAATGTATTAGTAAATGTTGGAATCAACATTAACTAAGATGAATAAATACTTTTAAGTATTAAAAGTATACTTTTAAGTAAAGTATTTATCATTGTTAGTTTAACTAATGTAGTTAACTAATGTTTACAAATGGAAACTTATTGTAAAGTGTTACCGCATTTATTTTATTATTTTAAAATAAAACTATAAATAAATAAACAAAAAATAAGAAATCATTTTTAAACATTTAAGCACATTTATCTCCAGAATTCTCATTAGTGTAATGCAAAAAAATATATAAATAAAATAAAATAAAAAAGTAAAATAAAATTATCATTACTTCATTGAGTCCAGACATTTTTAATTACATTTATTTTATTATTATTTTAAAATAAAATATAAAAACTAGTAAGCAAAAAAATAAGAAATAATTTATAAGCATTTAAGCACATTTATGTCACAAATTCTTATTAGTGTAATGCAAAAAAAAAAACAAATCCTCATTTTTCAATTGCATTTATTTTATGTTTTTGTTATTTGTTATTGTTTATTATTATTTTTTTTTATTATTATTTTTTTTATTATATCATTAGTTTTTATGTAATCCACATTGTTCTCAATGGTGATTCATTAGCATCTCATTACTGAGATTATTAATGAGAATCACCCTGTCTAGATACATGATTTTTTTATATTTGTCTAAATAAAAGGTATTTAATTAGTTATTTTTCTATTTAAATATTTAATATTAGTCTAAAATAAATTGTGTCTGCAGATCTACAGTAAAAAAAAAAAAAAATATATATATATATATAATTCTTGCGCATATATATAATGCATTTCATTCATGTGAATTGGGGCACAAAATGTGTTCATAAAAATAATATCACAATACAAAAATAAGTACAATGTTGTTATTGTAATTTTCACGGCAAATGATTTCATTGGTCTTGTGCCTGTGTCGATTGACAGGTGTTTATCGCAGTCTGCAGCAGTCGCACAACGTGAGCTCGCAGGACTTACTGACAGCTATGGACTACTGCGAGGAGTCGCTGCAGGAGATCGACATCACTTCCTTCCTGCAGACGCTCTGCGGACACGTGCGTGTGTTTCGTGAGCGTCACGAGCTGCATGGCTCTGTCAGCGTAAGCAAGTCCAGTGACGCTTCCACCACCTTCATCATCGGAGAGGGAGAGGATGATGGAGCTGACAGAGCCACGCTGGTGTCTTCATCCAGGTACTGACCTTAGAGCAATGCATTGTGGGATTAATGCTTTGTTTTCATTGTTTTTATATGTTTTATATTTGTTTGTTTTTTCTCAAAGTATTGAGCTGGAGGATGTGAGTGAAGCCGATTCCAGTGGGAAAGTCTCTGCTCCCACATCCCCGCTGGACCTGGACGAACCGAAGTCTCCAAAAATCCCAGAATTCCCTCTGTCGCTCCTCCAGTCCCAGCAGAAATGTGACGTGTATCCTGATTTGCACAAAATCATACAGGTACGGCTGACAGCAAATGTTGTCAGGGGTGTAGAAACAACATGTTTACAACACAGCTGTCATACAAATGATATCTCATATTCTTTTTGTTTCACAGGATAAGTTCATGGAAATCGGTGCTCAGTATTTCAAGACTGTACCGTCCAATCCACATTATTTCTTTTACTGCCTTCCATCTTCCAAAAAAGAGGTGTGTACACACATTAAAAACATACATGCATTGCATAAAATACAAAAACAGAACTGTATTGGAAACACTGGGAATAGTCTTATATAGACAAATGTTTGACTGTCAGATTGGCGCTCATCTTTATAGCATGAATGGTTTATGGGAGCGCTTTCCTTTCCTCTCGTCCACCGTCTGCAGGAGGATTTGGACCGAGAGGGAGAGCGGAGAGCCAGTGAGGACTGTGAGGTGTCTGAAGCTGAACTCGCCACAGAAGACGGTTAGACATCCTTCATGACACACTGAATGTTCAATTTAATACCCGAGTGCTACATTTTTAATATCACCTATATCTAAGTCTCCACCTCAGGCTGTTTTGATAAAGTTCACATTCAGTAAATAATTGGTTTTGAAGAAATTTAATGCCATTTGCAACATATTTAAAGCGCTTAACTGTAATATTTCCCTCACTAAATGTGTTATGCATAAAGAAAATAACAGTGTTTTAAACATCTGTTTATCAATCCAGTGATGCTTCAGTTGGATTGTGAAAAGTTTTCTATTATATTATTGGTCAGGGATGTAACTATGCACCTTTAGCCGGTTAAAAATCGATAAAAATGTGTGACGATTCAAGTCGGTGGGCATTTATAATAATGTATCTCTGAGGGGAGCTGACTGACTTCAGAAAATTTTAGATGGTATTTTCTTTTCATCTTGCGTCCGTAAAATGCATATTAAAGTACTGTTTATAAGCGCTGCGCTGCTTTGTTTACGGCGGTAACCCAGGAAACGCTGTATCGCTGCTGTTCCATGAGCGCCTCCTGCTGTCAGAGAGTGAATCTGCATCTCTTTCAGAGCTTCTGCTGTTTCTGTTTCCTGCAGATGTTTTACGTAGTATAGTTTCACAAAGCTAAAGTCAGACCATTCTGTTTTTGCTTCAAATTTCGAAATGATACAATCTAATTTAAATCAAAAACTGCTCATGCTGCATGTATGCATCATCTTTGATTGGATCGTGATTAAAATGTCGTGGTTGCCTCTAAATTTAAATGGGAAAAGCACAAGCAAAGCCTTAGTTTGTTTATATGAAGACATGTCTTGCATTTGTATTATTCATTCATGTGATTTGGGAATTTAGTTTTGTGATTCAACATATTTCAATTTCACAAAGAAATGTGCAGCATTTTGTCTAATAATAAAAGGACTCTTTTTCATTTATAATTTGTCATTTTGTTAAATAATCATGGGAAAATCGTATCGTGAAATCAGTTTTGTGAATTGTATCGCATGAATCGTTACATCCCTATTATTAGTTAATAATACTGCATGCACAGCCACGGTGCCATAGCACTGGTGAATGAACATTTAACAGGGACTTTAGTAGGGTCCGTTGATTTCATGTTATTTGGAAAGTTTATGTGTGCATTTAATAGTGTTTTGCACCCGTTAGTAAACTTGAAGTATATTAAAACATGGTTATCCATATTTATGTTTTGCATATGTGCAGAGAACGTGTCGGGCTGCTGCATCGTGACGGAGAGTGACACGGATCTGGAGGTGGAGTATCAGGATTGTGGGAATGGCAGAGCGGAGGCTGGAGGACAGGGAGCAGGTGAAGGCGAGTCTCGGTCGGACTCCAACACGGTGAACCAGGACGAGGACTCCTTCAGTATTCTGGACGGAGACTCTCTGCTGGAGGTGGAGGGTCCGCAGCCGGAGATGCCACCTCTGTTCGTGCACCTCACCTGCTCCGTCAACATGAAGAGCTGCCATGGCTCCATGCCCACACAAACACTGCCAACCTGTCTGGGTGAGACACTGAACACACCGCTGAGGGTTCTGCCACTGACTTCAGACTCTGTGCTTACAGTCATTTACAGGGTCTTATTCGACACTTTTGTTGCATTTAGTTTTTTCCCTAAAGTCCACTATCAATGTCAGTCAAGATTAATTCACCAAAAAATGTATCATTTTGTTTTTCATGGCCATTTTTTAACTGTACTGTATATTTGCATACAATATTTTGACACTTTTATCCAAATCAAGTTATAATTGAAAAACGTTAAAATTATAATAACTTTTGCAAATCAGCTTTGTTATGACTGGCTCTCTTCACTTTAAAAATCATAATAGTGCTAAATAATAATTTGCTAAATACTAAACAAGTATTTATATGATATGTAAATGTAGGTGGACTTATGTTAATTAGCTTATGGTTGTGACCTGGAAATGTCAGGAAAATTTTGGTTGTGAATATAACTTAGTCATTTAAAATAAGACCTTTAACCATTTAATTGTATTAATTTCAAGGATTGGCTAAATATATATGAAAATATGCCACATCAAAATCCTGATCAACAGTGTTGTTAACATTAAAAATAAAACTAATGATTTTCTAAAAATAAATCTAAAACTAACAAAAATATTTAATTAATTAAAATTAAGCTGAAATAAATATTAGATGAAAAGGTTTAAAAAAAAAAAGAGAGAGAGAAAAATGTTACATTGGCAACTAACTGAAATAAAATAAGTTTAAGTTGAAGTACTAAAAAATACCAAAACCTGGACTGAAATAAAATAAATGAAAGCGAACTGAAATAAAATAAATTAAAGCTAAACAGAAAAATAATTTTAAAAAAAATGACATAAGCACTAATTGCTTAATAACAAAATTACTAAAATGTAAACTAAAATAAAAACTGAAAATAAATAAATGTAACTTTAAAATATTAATAAATTCTATAATAATATATACATAATATAAATATAATAATATAATATAAATAAAGAACAACTCATGAAAAATCATTATTATAAAACGGAGAGTTCCAGTCCTTGATTCTGATTGGCTGATTGGCTGATTGGCTGATTGTTCTAAGCTGTTGTAAAATACTCTACAAACATACACCTTTGTTTACGTTTGTGTGTTGCTCGGCAACCACTTTATTGGAACCACAACTGTTTCTGAGGAACTACATTGTTTGGTGGAAGAATACTGGTTTTATTAATATCATTACACTTTATTTGCTCTGTTTTATTTTGTGAAACCTTACTACGTATATGGAATAACCGTTTTATAAAAGCAATAAGCCCCGTGAAGCCTCCACTTCGTGTCGTGCCTAACAACGCCCCTTAGCTGTTATAAATTCACTGTAAACCACGGCTTCTTGGGGCTTATTGCTTTAATTCATTGGTTAGAAGGGATGGACACCATGTATATTGAGTTGTTTTTTTTTTAATCTCAAATTTGATCCCTCTGATTAGTATTAATCTGGTTAATGTATTTTCAATAATGTTAGTGAATCTAAAAATTATTATTATTATTTTTTTTTTTGCAGGTGAAGTCATTACCTGTCTTGAGGACGCTGAGAGTCTTCAGTCGGTGGATCTGAACGAGTTGTCTGTCACTCTTGATATCTTCGTGCTCACGTTACCTCTGGACATCGAGGTCATGGCTCCTGACTTCCACCACAACAGGTCAGTGCTTGTGAAGCGTCGCAGAGTGAGGAAGAAAACAGCATGGCTGCAGCTGGAGTGATCCTGATGGTTCTCTGTGCATGTACTGTAGATACACGTCTGAGAGCAGCGTGTCTCTGAACCGCTCTCCTGGACAGCCCTCGTCCTATCGCTCTGACGAGGAGCTCATGGCTAATCTGGACGGCCTGCGCGGGGTTGGTGTGGAAAGGTGAGCGTTCGGAGCTCAGCAGACATCATCTGTTGCCAAATATCTTGAGGATGAACTTGTTATTTTGTCGTCTTCTGCAGTATGGCTGGAGATCCGCTGTCCAAACTTCCTATTCCACACAAAATGGCTGTTTTAGCCACCATGGATGAGGTGAGAGTGCAAAGATTTCAATGAAAATTAAAGTGATTTTATTTTTTATTTAATAATAATAATAATAATATTTAATGACATTGTAATTTTAAATAATAATAATTTTCAATATTCTCAAACAATTATTGGCAAAATTTTACAATAAGTCCCATTAGTAATGCATTGCTAAGATTAACTAACATTGAGCAATGTCTCATTTTGTTTTGTTTTTATATATTTTTTTCTAATATGTCAATATCATTTTTATTAATTTTTATTTCAGTTTTAATTATTTCAGTACTTCAAATAAAAATTTTAAATGTTAACTAATTTAAATAAAATATTTTGTAATATTTTATTTTATTTCAGTTAACATTTATTTTATATTTTTATTGCATTTATTTAACAAAAATGTCTCATTTTGTTTTATTTTTTGTTTTTATAATTTTTTTTCTAATATGTCAATATAATTTTTATTAATTTTTATTTCAGTTTTAATTATTTTAGTACTTTAAATAAAAATGTGAAATGTTAACTAATTTAAATAAAATGTTTTAATATTTTATTTTATTTCAGTTAACATTTATTTTATATTTTTATTGCATTTATTTAACAAAAATGTCTCATTTTGTTTTGTTTTTTGTTTTTATAATTTTTTTCTAATATGTCAATATAATTTTTATTTATTTTTATTTCAGTTTTTTTATTTTAGTATTTTAAATACAAATTTGAAATGTTAACTAATTGAAATAAAATATTTTTTAATATTTTATTTTATTTCAGTTAACATTTATTTTATAATTTTGTTACTTTTATTTCACAAAAATGTCTTATGGTTTTAGTTAAGTTTTTGATGTAATATACAGTATACTACATACATTATGTATACTATATAATATAATAACCCTGTTTCAGATCCGTTGGCTGTTGGAGGATGAGATAGTCTCCGCTCTGCGGCACTCGTCTGTTATCAGCTCCTCCACGCTGCAGAAAGTGTCGGAGCACGTGTGTCGCTCCAGCGGCCGCCCGCAGTGCCACTGTGAGCTCGTTCCCCTGCTGTTCGTATTTGGTCCCGAGCAGTCGCTGGAAAAGTTTCAAGAGGTTTGAACTCATGCGATGACCTCTATTATTGGTGATAAGACTCTCCAGGAAAGGTCAGGAACGAGATTATGTTCTGCCCCGTTGTTTAATAACACGTCCCTGCTTCCTCGCTGCAGGAGTTCAAGAGGTTATCGCTTCCTGGTTACCTGCTGAACGCCGAGCAGCACAACTTCCACTACGTCTCACTGAGTCGCCAGCAGTCTCACAGGCTCCAGGCTGCAAGACAGCTGTCTAGCATCGCTGCTCAGTACTCAACGGCCGTGGGAACAAGCTCTCAGCAAACCAGCCTGTGTCCTGAGGTGGAGGACGGAGCCAGAGCTTCAGCAAACATCTGCACGCCAGACAAAGACAGAGAAGGGGACTCCAAGAAAAAAGAGCCCGACACTGAGGTAATTATCAAAAACCTTTTAAACCACACCTGAAGAAAAGCATTGCATAATGCAAATTAATTTTTTTAATCAGATTTAACAAAGCTGACTTGCTGTCTATTGCAACATGGGCAGCTGTCTTATAAATCAACATCCTAACTGAAATGGAAACTCAAAATGAATGAATGAAAGACTCGACTCAATTGATTTCAGTAGAACTATACATTAACATTTTAAGCTAACGATGCAATACTTTAATGAAGCATAATACATAGTACACACAGAAATTGGTTTAAATAGTCATGTGTAGATTAGATTAAAAAAATAATCTATATTTTAGCTAGTGATTAAATATGATCAAATATATAGGTATATTTGTAATTAATTTGAAACATTTTTCAAACTTTGACCAGTCTCAAAAAGGATTTTTCACTTTGCGGTGCATTTTGGGTTTGCCTTTTTCAACAAAGGATCAAAAGTTCAGTATGATTTTCAATATGAAAGAAACTAATATTTAATTTTATTTAATTTAAGAATTCATTTTATTCAGCAAGGATGCATTAAAATGATCGAAGAAATGTATCATGTTATAAGATTTCTTTTTCAAATAAATGCTGTTTCTTTGAACGTTTTATTCATCAAAGAATCCTGAAAAATAAAATGTATCACGGTTTTCACAAAAATATTGTGCAGCACGACTGTCTTCAACATTGATAATAATCAGAAATGTTTGTTGAGCAGCAAATCAGCATATTAGAATGATGTCTGAAGATCATGTGACATTTTTAATTTTTTTTCTCTGTATTTTTAATCAAATAAATGCAGCCTTGGAGAGCAGATGAGGCTTCTTTCAAAAATCTTACCAACCCCAAACTTTTGAGCGGTAGTGTAAATTACTACTTTAATATTCACATTTATATTAATGCATTTGGAAATTTTAACATATATTCACATAGAAAACAGTTATTTAAAATTATAATAATATTACTGTTTTTGCTGTATTTTTTCTCAAGTAAATGCAGCCTTGTAAACAGAAGAGAACATTAAAAAAACTAAATGACCCAAAACTTTTGAACTTAAATGACCTCATTTATGATGGAAATGGAAATAAATACATAAACGGGCATGAAATATATATTCAAATAAATGTATGATTTTAGTTTAAATGATTTTATTATGTGAGAAGAAAAAGTGAAAAGTGATACAAGAGACATGAAACAAGCACAAAATCAGGGGCTGGAGATAAAGGTTATACAGTTTAGCTTTATTATACAAAACATCTGACCTCAGAATGCAATGATTGACCGATCTAAATCAAATCTCCCAAAGAGCCTTTTTGTTGTCTTCCTCTTCATCTGGTGTATGATTCATGTGTTTTTTTTCCTGGAGCAGGTGGAGTGTGGAGACACGCAGAGGGCCAAGGAGGACACGCGGCCTGCAGCAGCTGATTCAGTCAGTGAGTCTCACTCTGAGACCTCTGACCCCGGGCAGATCAAACAGGCCGACGCAGAGGAGACTCGACCTCAGAGTGCCATCAGCAGCGCTGCTCACCTGCAGGCAGGCAGCAGCAGCACCGAGCGCTCGTCTGATCACACGTCCCCTCCAAAAACCCCCTCGGCTGCCAGCCTGGCCGAGTCCGTGCAGTCCACCACACACAGTGAGTGTCACGAGAAACCAGCGTCATCTGAGTTTACTGAGATCCTGCTGGTGTAGTTAGACAAAACATTGCAAAAAAGGCCTGCACACTATGAGGATGAAAAAAAGACAACGATAAGGTGCAAGATTTAAGAGTCATCTTAAAGAAATATTTCAGCCAAAAATGAAAATTTGCTGATAATTTATTATTTAGTCCATCCAAGATGTAGATGAGTTTGTTTCTTCATCAGATTTGGAGAAATGTAGCATTGCATCACTTGCTCACCAATGCAGTGAATGGGTGCCGTCAGAATGAGAGTCCAAACAGCTGATAAAAACATCACAATAATCCACACCACTCCAGTCCATCAGTTAACATCTGGAGAAGAGAAAAGCTGCATGTTTGTAAGAAACAAATCCATCAGTAAGACGTTTTTAACTTCAAACCATCATTTCCAGTCAAAATAATCCAGTAATCCACAAAATAGTCCATAATCCAAGCTTCCTCCAGTGAAAAACTCATCTGGTCTGAATCAGGAGAGAAATCTGCACAGATCAAGCACTGTTTATAAGCCAAAACAGCTCTGAACAAATATGTGGGTGGATTTTGATGTGAGAGAGAACAGGGCAGGAAGCATTATTATGGATTATGGACTCGTATTTTGGCTGGAAATGATGGTTTGAAGTTAAAAACGTCTTACTGATGGAATTGTTTCTTACAAACATGCAGCTTTTCACTTAAAAAGATGTTAACTGATGGACTGGAGTGGTGTTGATTACTTGTGGATTATTGTGATGTTTTTATCAGCTGTTTGGACTCTCATTCTGACGGCACCCATTCACTGCATTGGTGAGCAAGTGATGCAATGCTACATTTCTCCAAACCTGATGAAGAAACAAACTTATCTACATCCTGGAGGGATTGAGGTTATTTTTGGGTGAACTATTTCTTTAAAACAGAAATCGATAACATGGTTGCATATGTCACATGATCCAAAAAAAAAAAAGTTTTTGGATCATGTGATTATATATTTTTTTGTTGCCTGTTTGGATTATTGTCATCTCTTTGGATGTTTTTGGATTTTGTTTGTTTGTATGTTTATCCATAGTTAGACTCTAATAATAAAGTTTATGCTATTTATTCTAAGCGGTTTTGATTCCTGTTGCTTTTAGGCAGTGGGAAACTACGGCCCAGTCGAGTTCAGAGCGTCGTCTCCAGTCAGGGCAGCCTGGACTCAGACATGATGGGTGAGACTTCACTCAACACACAGCATGTTCAAACTCACATTTACATCACAGTCATCATTCCTCATGGTCCTTGTCCTCTCTGCTGTGTGTGTTTCAGGTTATGATGGCGGCAGCAGTGATTCTGAGTGCGACGGACCCACTATGAATGAGCAGGAGAGACAGACACCGCTCATGCCTGATTTCTGGCTCATCGTCAGAATTCATCAGGACAGAGTGGAGGTTTTCTCTCATGCCAGGTACTGCTGCAGAGACGCGCTCAGGTGACGAAATTCACATTCAGAAAGCACCAAATGCAAGCAAAAATCAGCAAGTTAACTGGCTGGTAGAAGGCTGGTTTGAAATGATCGTTTGACACTCTTTGTCTTATTTAAGTCATTTGCTAGATTCAACGTATTAAACATCAGTACAGTCTCATAGTTTGTTGACATGAATGTTTGTTGTTTGGTAAGGAGTGTGCTATTATTAAAAAAAAAAAAATCATTTTATAAAATTATAAAATGTATTGATTATTTGAAATAATTTTAATTAGTTAAATAATTTATTTTTCTAAATTATTATTCAATTTTATTTTAGAAATAATCATTTTAAATACACACACATACACATATAATATATTAATTATTTAATGCTATTTGATGATTATTCAATTATTAATTACTTTTTAACTGTATATAATATTATTATATAATATAACATAATTTCTTTAAAAAAAATATATATACTGACTCTAAGCTTTTGAATGGTATAGTGTATAATGTGTTACAAAAGCTTTTTATTTCACATAAATGCTGATCTTTGGATCCTTCTATTCCTTCTATTATCCAGCGTTTATTGTTGACTTCAAAGCTGTTTTGTTGTCCAAGTCTTATGCCTATCAATGAGTTTGTGTTCAGTTGTGCTCTAAATATATGAAGCATACAAATGAGCAGCATGTCTGTTTGTAGTGCTTAAATTGCAAACGCTTTTCCCCAGACATGCAAACAAAACCGAGTTTTGCATTTTCCAGCTGAGAATGTAAAAACGCTTTGTACTGTTGTGAATCTTGAGCATTGTGTTGTCAGGAGTTTTAACAGAGGGAAAGAGGAGGAAGAGGAGGAGATCCCAGAGTACCTGCGTCTTCATCAGCTGGTGGTGAGGAGGATTGGAGAAATGTGCCGAACAGTCAACCAGGTAAAGAACAGCCTTTCACTATCAGCGTAAAGTCTGGTCCAGCTCATTCTGGCCAGAAACACCCACTATCTACACATATAATATATTAATTATTTAATGCTATTTGATGATTATTCAATTATTAATTACTTTTTAACTGTATATAATATTATTATATAATATAACATAATTTCTTTAAAAAAAATATATATACTGACTCTAAGCTTTTGAATGGTATAGTGTATAATGTGTTACAAAAGCTTTTTATTTCACATAAATGCTGATCTTTGGATCCTTCTATTCATCAAGTTGACTTCAAAGCTGTTTTGTTGTCCAAGTCTTATGCCTATCAATGAGTTTGTGTTCAGTTGTGCTCTAAATATATGAAGCATACAAATGAGCAGCATGTCTGTTTGTAGTGCTTAAATTGCAAACGCTTTTCCCCAGACATGCAAACAAAACCGAGTTTTGCATTTTCCAGCTGAGAATGTAAAAACGCTTTGTACTGTTGTGAATCTTGAGCATTGTGTTGTCAGGAGTTTTAACAGAGGGAAAGAGGAGGAAGAGGAGGAGATCCCAGAGTACCTGCGTCTTCATCAGCTGGTGGTGAGGAGGATTGGAGAAATGTGCCGAACAGTCAACCAGGTAAAGAACAGCCTTTCACTATCAGCGTAAAGTCTGGTCCAGCTCATACTGGCCAGAAACACCCACTATCTCAGAGTCGTCACCTCTGATCCTCTAGCACTGTTTTCCACTTTGTTACTCTTTAACCTCCCATGATTTTCTCCACAGCGCCTCCTGCTGCAGGACCTGCATGATAGTCGCGTGTGTCACTCTCTCCTGGTGGCTGAGAGCGAAGAGGACATCTGGAAGCACGAGTCGCTCTACCGGCCCAGGATGACCAACTCTGACGGTGCAGTACTTAATGCCTCAGCCGAATGACTGACACACACTCTTTCTACACGCCAGAGCCTGAGCCTCTTTGACAGGAAGTGCCGATTTGGAATGTTTTTGTTTTAAAAATAGCTACATTAGTCAGAAAATTGTCATCATTTTCCCAGATTTCTTCATCTATTAAAATCTTTTGTATGGGAACCAAATGTCCCAGCTCAGACTGCTCTGCTTTTCCGTTTTCTTTTAATTTCATCTCACATTTAGAGTCTTTTATGCCAAAAGACTCAAAATGTGTGATGAAATTAAGAGAGAGTGGCCCATACTGCTCATAACTAAATAAAATGCAGAAGGTTAAGTGCAACAAATAGTTTGGCATGTGAGTTACTCACTATTTCTAATGAGCAAATAAATCAATGAAATGCTAAGCAAATAAATGCATGAAATATTAATCTCTTTTACTCTTACTGCTTCAGATCCATGCACATGCCGGAGTCATTATTGTTGTTATTATTATTATTTTATTATTATCTAATAAAATTGTGATCCACAATTTTTTAAAATGCAATTTAAAAAAAGCAGATTGGCCAAAAAAATTGTGATTATGTGTCAGTATTAACATAAATACTTTATTATAATAATAATAAAAATAATAATAATTATTAAAAATATTAAACTGAATAATAAATATTGCTATTGCAATATTTTACTGCAAAATAAAAAAAAATCTAATATTTAAGAAAAGTTTTAGTAAAATAATGTATTTGACAGTACAACAATATTTATTTATTGCCTTAAAAGCTTAATGGTTTAATGTTTTGAAATTTTTTAGCCGGTTATAAGCGTTTCTCATTACATATCTCAAAACACGTTGACCCAAGACCCAAACTCTTGCAGCGCATATTTTTACACTGCGAAAAAAAATTAAATCCAACTACAAATATCTGAACATTCTTAATTCAAGACACAAGAAAAATAACAAGATATTAAGTTTTGCATTCTGAAAAATGTATCAAAATTAAGTGAGTTTATGCTCAAAACAAGAAAAAATATCTGCCAATTGGATAAAAAAAAAAAAACTTAAATCAAATGGATTTTTCTGATCCCATTGGCTTTTTTTCTTGTTTTGAGCATAAACTTGCTTAATTTCAATGCAGAAAATAAGACTTAATATCTTATGTTAAAGGGGTCATATGATGCGATTTCAAGTTTTCCTTTCTCTTTGTATTTTGATTTAAGAATGCTTAGATATTTGTACTGGAAAACAAGACGAAAATACTAAGTAAGAAAGTAATTTTTGCAGTGTATTTAATTAAATTGCAGCATTTGTGATAATGGCACAAAACCATATCTTGATTTCAGTTTTATTTTAATGAATTGTGTAGCTCCACACCACGCGTATGGCTTTGTGTAAATGAAAACTGCTGATATTGTTGCACTCTTGATATGCAGTACAGATTTAATAACGCCTGCTGCTGCTGTAAAATGCAGAACAATTTACACTAATGCAAACAAACACAGACTCTCACACAGAAGCCCATCGGGAAGGTCAATTCAAGGGTGGTGATAATGAGACCGCAGTATGAGTCTGAGCACTCGCCTTATTGACTACAATTTTATATCCTCTGTTTAGCGTGAATTACCGCACTAATGTCCTCATATGGCCTATCGTTCTGCCTCAGACTGTGCAAATGAATTGGATCCAGTCGACCACAGAGATCAACGCTCAAATGCTTAATTTGTATCGTACGACTTGAGGTGCTCTGCGGGTCTGTGGAGTTCAGCTAATCCTGCTAATCGCCCTTTTGTTATGAAATTGTTAAGATGAAAGTCTCATCCCCATCATTGCACATTTTTCCCGCCTCAGACTACAATGCAGACGAGAGCTATCAGCCGCGGGACTACCTTGCCGCTACCATGCAGTTCATCCCGGGTTACTTCGCCTGTGACGTGGTCTGGAGCACCGTCATTTATATTCACCCACGTCTCAAAATGGGGCCCAACATGGGCGTGTCCCGGGGTGAGTGACACCACAGCGGACCATTTAGGTGGTTCCTCATGGAAACATGTTTTTATCTTGAAAAACTGGGGAGCTTATGTCCAAAGATGATTTGTTTTCTCTGGTTCTTTCAGCTATCCAGGCTCTGCGCTCCGTACTAAACGCTTTCTGTGTGGTAAACCGCAAAAACATGTTTGTTTATCAGGAGCGCACCACCAAATCTGTGTTCTACCTCCGGTGAGTCAGAACCTCTGCATTTTTTCATATTAGATATTGACCAATATGAGCTTTTCAGTGATTGATGCTGGTATCTGAAGAGCGGAGTAAACGAGAGTTTGTTGATCCAACACTAAGGTTGTGGGTTCGATTCCCAGGGAGTGCATGAACTGATGACGTGTTTAGCTTGAGTAGAAAGTAAACCACTTTGGATAAAAAACATTTCCAAAAGCAGTAATATAAATGTGAATGTTAAAGTATCAATTTACAATTCCGTTCAAACGTTTGGGGTTGGTAAAATTTTTGAAATAAGTCTCTTCTGCTCTCCAAGGCTGCATTTATTTGATCAAAAATACAGAAAAAAATTTAAAAATGTGAAATATTATTACAATTTCAAATAGCTGTTTTCTATGTGAATATCTGTTAAACTGTAATGTATTTCTGTGATCAAAGCTGAATTTTCAGCATCATTACAGCAGTCTTCAGTGTCACATGATCTTCAGAAATCATTCTAATATGCTGATTTGCTGCTCGAGAAACATTTCTGATTATTATCAATGTTGAAAACAGTTGTGCTGCTTCATATTTTTGTGGAAATGTGATACATTTCGTATTTCAGGATTGTTGAAAAAGTTTAAACTGTGTAAAGTTTAAAAAGGTTCCTAAATATGTTGAAAAAGTAACAAAATGCAGCACAACGACCAAAGACATCCATCTAACATATTTTAAATAGACCAACAATTAAAACATAGCAAAGAAGGAAAGCAAGAAAAAGTGTGCAGATGGCTGACAATTCTGCGTTTATCTTATTTTTGAGGATCAAATATTGATTAAATTGACTCATATCTACACATTCTTTATTATTTTTACTATTTTGAACATTGTAGAATAATTATTAATTATTAAAAAATATTTTAAAATGATTAAAACTATGAAATGACAATAGTATGAGAATTGTTTATATATAAAATATATGTTGAACTATCTATCTATCTATCTATCTATATATATATACAATTAGATTTTGTAACATTATAAATGTCTTTACTGTCATTTCTGATCAGCTTAATGCTAAGAGTATTAATTTATCTTTATTGGGTAGTGCATCTATGTTTATTTGTAGATTTATTACCTAATTTGTTGTTTTATCACCCGATCCTCATTGTTTTATGCCAGATAAATCCAGCTCTGATTGCCAAATAAATTCTGTCATCATCTCATTTAAAAAGATCTTGTTCCCTTAATCATCCTGAATTTAATTAGATACTTTTAGCTCAGGTTATGAAGCTGCTATTTCAAAGGAACTAAATGTTAGTGACTGATATAATGCCTATACACAGTCACAAATATTTATTATTAGCATACCCCAAAAAATGATTGCACAGTATTTACTTGTAGGTCATTCAGAAATAATTGAAAGCAGAACATGTGTTGATATATCTGTCTGCCACTATAATATCTCTTTAATTTCTCCATCTGTGGCATTCTCGCCATCATCTCCTAGTGCTGTAAGTGATTGCTAGAATGTATTTGAATTCTTTTCATGTTCTTGACCTCCTCGTCTCATCTGTCCGTCTCCACAGACTCTCCGAGACGTCTCAGGCAGGGAAGTACAGTGATTTGGATGGAAACGTGCACGTGTCGCGCTCTGTCGGTCTGGCTCGCAGCCAGGAGCCGCTGGGCTCTGAGGACCTCACGGTAACATTCACATACTGTCACTTCTCATTACGCTTTAGGAAACCAGAGCCCTCAGCAGCCAGCCATTAGGGCTCAGATCGCCTTCCAGAGTGAATGATTTACCTGCCGTTCGCAAAGCACTGAACTGTCCTTGTGTTTACGCCATTTATGAGCCTCATCCTGAGCTATAGAAATGGGAGATGTGAGCAATTATGTGTTTATAGTCTGAAAAGCAGGCGTAGAACGTGCTCCCTTGAGCCCTGATGTGATGTGTGTTATGTTGTATGTAAGTGTGTGATGACATGTATCATGTTCACAGGCATCACGCTCTTCTCTGGAAGGCTCAAGGCCGGTTGGACTGGTGGACAAACACGTTTTGCTGCAGGTGCATGGCGTAGGGACCGCAGGTGAGAGAGAGGGATGGATAAATGTTTCTCACAGTACAGTGACAAAACAAAAGATGAATGAAGTGAGTTGGTTTCTGTGAGGGATGTTACAACACTACACCAGCCATGCTTACTGAAAGCAAAACCAATGAACCATTAAGTTCAGACCAATTCTTGCGTTTGTAAATAGCTGGACGGAACGCAACTCAATGTAATAGTTGAAATGATTTAAACTGTACAGGTTCTTGAATATGCATCACTTATGGTGTGATTTGTTGAAAAAGCAGCAAGACGCAGCACAAGGCCAACGTATTTTTAAATAGACCAACATTTAAAAAATAGAGAATGGAAGCAAGATTATAAAACGGAGAGTTCCGGTCCTTGATTCTGATTGGCTGAGCCACGTTCGAAGCTGTTGTAAATTACTCTACAAACAAACACCTTTGTTTACGTTTGTGTTTCTTGGCAACCACTTTGTTGGAACCACAACTGTTTCTGAGGAACTACATTGTTTGGTGGAAGAATACTGTTTTTATTAATATCATTACACTTTATTTGCTCAGTTTTATTTTGTGAAACCTTACTACGTATATGGAATAACCGTTTTAATTGATTTTTATCTGAATCAAACTGTCAGGACTCTCCAGCTTCACCTGCAGTACCATCAGCAGCTGACAGGAGGCGCTGTCGCTCTGCATTCATCCTGCTGTTATCAGGGCCATGAGTTATTTCTTTTCCTGTAAATTAATTGTGGGCAGCAAATGTTGATTAAATCAGCCCATATCGACTCATTCTTTATTATGACTATTTTGCACATTTTAGAATAATAGGAAAATTAGAGGACAGAGCAAAATGGAGACGGATGCTGCTGTAGCAGCCCTTAATCAGAAGAAGCCGAATGAAGAATAGGAATTTTAGAAGAATGTCGGGTCGTTTCTGGGTTTCGCGAGCAGCTCTGAGGGATTTCAGCACCTGCTCGGGAGACTTCAGTTATAAATCTAAAGTCAATATGAAACGGCTTCCAATCTGTGAACTATTGTACTTCCATTTTGTGACACATCTCCAAGTGAGATATGATGTTGTGTGATGGACAGGTCCAGAGATCACTGATGAACTGGTGAAGGTTTTGAGGAAGCGTCTGGACGAGGCCACGCTGGACATTATCACAGTCATGCTGGTCAGGAACTGCAAACTGACGCCTGCAGATGTGGAGGTGATTTCTTTCTCTTTTTCTTCTTTGACCATCTTTTGTCTATGACAGACTTGTTCTTCGCCGCAGGTTAAGTACAGATTAAGCAGATGAATTATATTTGCCCGCCCTATGCAGAGACAGACATTTGTGGGGAAAAAATGACAATAAAGTATCGTAAAATACAACTCATGTGCTGTATTTCAAGTCTTCTGAAGTTGTGTGATGTCTGACTTTTAAATGCTTTTTGCTTTGAATCAAAGCTTGTGATGCTGTGATTCATCTCAGAGCGAGTTGGTTTAGAAGTCTTTATTGAAGATTTTTTGAAATATTGCTGAAATACTTCCAGAACCAAAGCCGCTTAATGTGCGGTCACTGTTTTTCTCAGTTTGTGGGCGGTTGGCGGGTGTGTTGTTTGAGATTAATGGTTGGATAATAGACTGTGGAGATGATTTTTGGTTATTGCACATAATTTTTTTCCTCTTCGTCTCAGTTCATTCAGCCTCCCGGCTCTCCGGCGACGGAGGTGATGGAGTTCTGTCTGCCGCAGTACTGTGTGCCGTGGATCCAGGCGGTGGCTCACTACCTCCATCAGAACCTCCTCATCTTCCTCCACATCCCCAAATACACTGACAGCAACATGGAGCACCACTTTAAGGTACCGGCGTCTGATCCACTGAGACAGACATTCCCAGTGCATTTGGTTCATGGAGATGGTCACATGTTTAAATCAGAAAAGCAATGTTGTAGATTCATAATATAAATCTATGCAAATTTCTAAAATTATTGATCCGTAAATGTTTTGCCTTTTTAAACGAAAATACAGTTCATACACTATATATATATATATATATATATACATATATTAGTGCT